CAGTTCAGGAAACACGGCAAGGAAACAACTGAGCAGCATCCGGGTCGTCCTGGTCCATCGGAGATGACTAAAAGGGCTGTCAAGAGAAGCATCGAAATGGATCCCAGATTAACGACTGCAGAAATGGCCAAAGTTGGTGGGATGAGCCCGAAATCTGTTCAACGGATTCTCCACAGATTGGTTTATCGTTGCAGAGCAGCTAGACGGAAGCCCTTATTAAGACCTGCAAACATAGTCAAACGAAAGAAGTGGGCAAGTGATATGACGACCAAGCCTCTGGACTTTTGGAAGACCGTATTTTTCTCAGACGAATCCAAATTCGCTCAATTTTCGGACAGTGGAAGGACATGGATCTGGAGAATGCCTCACCAAGAGTTTTGACTCAACAGATTGCAGCCAATTGTGAAGCATAGTGGTTTCAGCGTGATGGTTTAGGGAGCTGTTTGGGTTGGTGGGAGATCGAGCTTAGTGGAGTGCGTTGGCAACATAAATTTTGCAAAATACGTCGAAATACTGGAGGAAAGACTCTTGCCACTTTATTCCTCGGGTTTCGTGGACAAGAACACAACGTTGTTCCAGGAAGATGGAGCACCGTGTCACACTGCTAGAAACACCCAAAAGTGGCAGGAAGAAAATGGTATCCAGAAGTTGCCCTGGCCGAATCAATCTCCTGACATGAACCCCATCGAAAACCTCTGGGCCATACTCGACCGGTAAGTCAAGAAACAACCAACTTCGAAAAGCGACCCAGTCCAAGTTTTGAAGCAAGAGTGGGCTAAAATCCCACAATCTAAAATTGACGAGATGATTCTCACGATGCCCCAAAGGATCAATGAAGTCCACGAAGCGAAAGGAAGATCTACTAGATATTAATTAAATTATAAATATATCAATTCATGTGAATATGACTGAAAAATTTAATTTTTTTCTGAAATGGTGGTGTCTATTTACTTGTGACCACGCTGTGTAGATTTTGAAAACTACAAACCTCGTCTGGCTCAATAATAATGTACGTTCGAAACCTAGTATCCATACTTAAACATTAGTTAGATAAAAATCCAATATTTTCAAATGTGTCTAGTATCATTATAATAAAAACCTACCAAAAAATAAATCATAAAATATTGTTGAGTAAATATTTATTATATTGTTATCACAAAATGTCATTTTTCACACAGTTTCGATTCGGTTAGTCCCCTGGTGGGGCGATAAGGTTTATGGACTGACAACGCTAAAATCTGGGATTCGGTGCCTTGCAGTGGATGCAGCAAATAGCCCTATGTGACTTTGCTCTTAAACAAACAGACAATTCAGTTGATTATCATAAGGAACTTCATATATATATATATATATATATTATACTTTTACATCAGTAATTTACATTTGTTTTCATACACTTTTCTCATCATAATTTCATACTAATTAACATATCTTGAAATGTCATGAATAAGCTTGTCTGATCGCCGTATTTAGTAAGATTATTGATTGCTTATTTCATTATTTAACTTATAATACTTTAATGTTAACAAAATCGTTGTAAAAACAAACGATTTCAATTATTTGCATAGTATGGATAAATCTGGTTTTGTATCTGAAAGCTGAGTCGGAAGAGTTTCTTAATTAATCGCAATACTTTGTCATACACACATAGACAGGGTATGATTTATATTGGTAAAATAAAGTCCAGCATACACTAATTAGTATATAGTTTCTCATACAGAGTAGTATATGTAGGACTTTATTTTACGGGCTGTTTCTAAAGAGTTTTACTACATCAAACTCTATTCGATCATGAAAAGGAATGAATGATGTTGACAATGATGAGAAGTTTTGGTGGCATAATTTGTGACGTTTCTGAAGGTCCTCTATTTTGCGCTTAAAGGAAATGCTGTTGAGTTTTTGTACATTTTTGGTGAGTTAATCCTTTCAGTTTTGCAATATGTCAGTTGGTAGAAAATGCTTTATATAACGATGTTGTTAGGTGCCAAAATCGTTTTAATATAACACAATATGTAGAAAAGCGTAAATAGATCGTTGAAACTAGAAGCGAACCGTTGTTTCTCAACTTTTACACATCGTTTAAATTTTAACATTTCGAAGAATGAATAAGTTTCTTTATATCTGTCTGAAGTCTATCGAAGACTATGAAATTAACATGCCAATACAAAAAAAGAATGTCCTCTTTAATGGTGAAGATACTGACGGAGGTGTTATTTTTGATTTATTAACCTACATTAAATTATCAGATTTCTCTGAAAATGTTAAATTTAATATATATAACAGCTTTCCAGCTTTAAAGTTTCAGCAAAAACTTTACAATAATTTGTGTGAAAAATAAGTCCACATTAAATAGCCTAAGTTTTGGCTTTTAGTGTGTCATCTTTTCTGATTGTTTGTGTAATGATTTTTCTATGTTTTATATTAAGTACATTTTCCGTTATCTAGTCTATCCATTTAAATTCTCTTTGATATCTATCTATATAAATGTTTCAAATTTATAATTTTTACTAGCGATGTCACAAACCAAATGTATTGAATATGACAT